CATTTGATGTTATTGGCTTCTCAGTTATATTTTTTTGTCTGGGGAGGGGTTTAGTCGAATTTGAGACAAAGACTAGGCATGATGGGCGACATGGCTAGAAAAAAGACGCGTCATTTAGCCCGTCTTATGCTTACTTGAGTCTTATGCGTGAAATTATAACATTGAAAACTTAGATAGTTAAATATTTCCTTAAGTTAATAAGTATAACATGAAAGTAGAATGCATGTAATGCAATATTTCTATACATAGATGAAAAGGGTACATCGTCTTAACTAAGCAAATTCTAATATCACATAAAATTTTGGATATCATTGAAAAAAAGCGAGTCATGCTCATATGTACATGAATATCTTTGTTTTGTTTATTCTCTAGAAAGTCTTCAAAGATTATTTTCTAATTCTCAATAAACATTGATTCACAAAAAATAAATCAATAAGGTTATGTGTATTTTGTTTTTTCTTGCTGATTTAATTCACTATTGAATTGCACATATCACAGAATTATAAGTTTGATTTAAAGTACTGATACGTGCTAAAAACTGACCTTAAGTAAAAACTTTTTTCGATATTTGTGACGAAGTATATGTCCTGTTCAGTTCTCTACATTTATATAAATACTATGGGACAGATGAAAATATGTTTAGTAAGTAGAAAAAATCATTGTTTTCCTACGAATAGTCATTATATAATTACAAGTTTTATTACTTTATCAAAATATGAAAAACTTAGAAAGCCAAAACATCTAACGTAAAAATGACATTAAAATGGCCTCAGTGTGATTTGTGCTGATGCACAACGTAGACCATCATCTTAATAAAGTGTTTTAATTGTTTAATTTCATAATCTTTTCAGAAATGTTCATACTGATATCATACATCAATTTCTCATAGATAAAATTGGTGCACTAATAATAGAATGGAATATTCAAAACAAGATTGATAAAAAAACAGATATTTTCCCTCCCACACTCGATTTCATCAAATTTTAGATATAAACTGAGAGAAATACATAATTTTTATTTATGAGTCAAATACATAGCTCTATAGAGTTTTAAAGGCACTTGTCCTAATGATAAACTAGAACTAACATAATCTGATTTCACTTAGAATCGATCAATTAGTAAATAAAATCAAAAAAATCTATTTAGAAATTCAGAAGTTAGAGTAGTGTGAAAACACTTACGTAAAAAGATTCTAATAAATTTGTTTATAGTGTAATAGATCGTATCTATTTTAAATAAATGAAGTTTGTGTGCATAAGCAGATGTCTGAATACTTTGAAGACACGAAGATGATGATAAAAATATGATTGCTTGTAGATAAAAAATTATTCTGTATAACAATCATGAATTCTTATGTAATATTACAAGTTACCATAAATTTCTACATCAAGTTACATTCGTTTCTGTTTTTTTAAAGGATCTATCTTTGTCTGTATTACACAGTATGAATGTAAAAAGAAATTGAGAATATCTCATCTAGCAAGTATCCTTCAGGAAAAAGAATTTTGTATTAATATTTATAACTTCTAGCTTTATCTCCATGAGATGAATTACATTTCTATCTTCTAATTCTAACTATTTAACTTAATTCAAATTAAAAGTTTAATTTTATTGACATGGTTGCATTGTATTCTAATATAGTGGATATACATCCAAGTTTGACTTTCAGTATGAATTTCGAATTCTATTTTTCACTATGTATAAAATATGGGCACTTATTAAGAAAAGATTTCTTCATTATTCTTTTGACTGAAAATATGTATACATCATATCGAAGTTACTTCGACATATAAAATATTTAAATAAATTCACACTGACTCAAAGATAAAACAATTATCTACTCAAATATTTGACTTATATTATTTTCACTTTTATATGTATTAATAAATCCTATTTTTTTTTATCAATAAAACACAAGAAATAAAACTACATTTTCATTGATTTATAATTTAAATTTTCTGAAATTATTCTTTCATATAGATTGATAATGGAATGTTTTAATATACTACAAAAATTAAAACTAGAACGATGCAATAGATTTTATTCTCTTTTTTTTCTTTGAAAGTCTTATCTCTGAACAAAAAAAAACCAACACAGAAATTTTAATTATTGTAAAAGGACAACAATTACATTCAATAAATATGTTTACAAAAAATTAGATATTTCTTCTCATCGTATCAATTAAATTACAAATATCTCATGAATTTCTTAGCAACATGAAATCCATCTTTATTTCTACTCCATACTTTTGTTGCATTTCAGTACCAATGTGTGCAAGTTCCATTGATATTCATCCGAGTGCAAAATGGGCACAGAATGGTATCACTGTTGCTGGAGGAAATGGATCGGGCAGTGGAACCAATCAACTTTCTCTTCCATGGGGGTTGTACGTCGATGATGATCAACCCATTTATGTCGCTGATTGTTATAATTACCGTATTGTGGAATGGAAATCTGGTGCAACGAATGGAAAAGTAGTTGCTGGTGAAAATGGAGAAGGAAATGGAGCTCATCAGTTAAACAACCCACGAGATGTGATTATCGACAAAGAGAGCGATAATCTCATTATCAGCGATGGAGGGAATAACATAATAGTTCGTTGGCCTCGTCGAAATGGTACTCGTGGAGAAACAATTATTTCAAATATCTCTTGCTTCGGTTTGACAATGGACGAGAATGGATCTCTCTATGTCGTTGACGAAGGAAAACATGAAGTGAGACGATATAAAATTGGTGACACTAAAGGAACAGTGGTTGCAGGTGGCAATGGACAAGGAAATCGTCTCGATCAACTCTCTTATCCCCGCTACGTATTTGTCGATCGAGATCATTCAGTTTATGTGTCTGATTGGGCAAATGATCGTGTAATGAAATGGGAAGAAG